TAGATCAAATAGAGGAAGGGAGATATAGAAAATTAGAACAATCAAGAGTAGGAAGTTATGGACTAGCATAATGAGTAAGAATATTATCAAGAGCACAGGAGAAACGGGGAGAGAATGCTGAATAGCAGATATCAGTATCCATCTAAAGCAAGACTGAGTGGTAGCAATAGGGAATCCTTTAATCATTGGCTTTGATAGTCTAAGCAAGATTCCAAACCAGAGAAACCACCAATTCCCTCCCCATGGTTGGGCTCAGCAGTCTGTGTTCTGCTGAGTCAATGCAGATAGGGATCTCACTGTTGAGGGAGCCCTGAACAAAAGGCTCCTACAGTGTCATGCACCTGGGAATTGGAAAGAGGGCAAGGAGAACAACTAGGAGGGGAAAAGGTCTTCAAGATTCTCCAACAAAGAGACTACCAGATGAAGTGAGAATGCAGATATTCATGAGGGCATGGATGGCCAGGGAAACCTTGAATTCATGAATGCAACTCCCTTCAGAAACTCATGCTCAGGCTGTGTACCTCACTAGGTATGGGGAGGGACACCTTTTCCCAAGAGGCCTGCCAGGTAACATCTTTGTGATTGCCTTTCCTCATACCTGAAAAATCACAGTTTTGGGCTGTGATCTGAAGTTCTCAAACATGGTATCCAGGTCAAACTGCCTGGGTGCCTCCCACTGCCATTTAGTACTATCACTGAGTATCAATGCATTCTTCAGCAATTTATTTAACAATTCTGTACACTAGCTTTCCTACTTGTTAAATGTGGAATACTTTGCTAAAAGAAAGCATAGTAATATATTTCATCTATAGATGGGATATCTGGCAAATAGTAAATACACTTATATTTAATGTGTATGCAGACAAATACATATATGCATATGTATCTATGATATATATATAAATATTTACATACAGTTGGTATCTATGAGTTTACATACAAAAATGTTCATATAAAATAGAGTTAAGGATAAATTTGCTTTGTGACAGAATTTTAAAATCCATGCATTCAAGGATTCTTCAAAAAATTCATGGACATGCATTATATGACAAAATTGTGCATGGATTTCAAAATTTTTGTGTCAAAACAAACATCTTTTAAATCCATTTTAATAAACTTTTTCAAATTCTCCTTCTTGTGTACACACAGGTATGCTTTTGTATCTGACAGGAGATCATACACATTCTTTTCTGATTCAAATGGAACATTTATACAGTTTGACCATGTAACAGGCCACATCTCATTTCTGAGTCTGTTCGCTTCTCATTAGCTAGAACTCAGTTGTATGGCCACAACAATGAACTGGGGTCAAGTTGGTTGCCTAGAGATAAGAGGAAACAATATTTGAACAGCTGGTATGCTTCCTATAGCTTTCCTTTTCCTGGTTACCAACTTCCTGTGCCAACACATGTATTCACTTGCTCACCAAAGATGAAAGTTTCACACTTCATTGTTTCTCAAAGTCAAATATATTGAGGATATAGCCTCCTCTCCATCAAGATGAATAAGACTATTTCTAACAAAAACAACAAAAACACAGAGAAATAATTACCTGTTTCTATTCTTGTATACAACATATGATGCTGGAGACGTAGGTAGCCTATTCACCATAAAAAACTCACATTCAGGAAAGGAAGGAAATAGAAACATATTGTCTTTTTTGTTTGTTTGTTTGTTTGTTCTACTTAATACTTTTGGTTGAATACTGTAATCAATACACAATTATTCTTAAGTGCTGAAACTTAACTGAAAAGTGATCACTGTTAAATATAAGAGTGGGAATAAGAGAGGGAAGAGATGTGCAATTCGCGACATGCTCAAGCTGACTTACCCCAAACGGTAGAGTTAGAAACATACCAGGGGATTCCAATTCAATCCCATTGAGGTGGCATGTACCAATGCCATCTCACTAGTCCCAGTGATCAAATTCTGTTCACAACTGATCATAATGATAGGACTAAGAACCAAAGGGATCACATAAACAAGACTAGTGTCTGCAAATACTAACTGATAGAATCAAAAAGGGAGAGAATGATCCAACATGGGAAGTGAGATACACAGCAGACCCATAGAATGGCAGATGTCCTAAACAGCACTCTGGCCTCAGAATCAGCCCTTAAGGCTTGCGGATCCGGCTAAAAAGCCCATGAGAGTATTTCAGGCATGGAAAGCCAAGACACTCTGGCAAAAAACAAACAAACAAACAAAAAAAAACAAAAAAACAAAAAAACAAAAAACAAAAAACACCTAAATGAAAGATCTCCACGAGTGAGATCCCAGTGGAAAGAACGGGTCTTCAATGAAGGAGGTACCTTTCTCTGAAGGGAGGAGAGAACTTCCACTTTGACCATGGCCTTGTCTAAATATGAGCAGAGTTGGTGAACTCAGGGGACTTCCATAGCCTTGGCAGCTCATGACAAGAGCCTAGGGTGATTACTGAGGCCATAAACAAGAGTGTCAATTTGTTTAGTCAACAACAGGAGTCACTGTGCACTTACTCCTCATGTAGAATCTTTGTCTTTAGTGTGCTGTACATTGAGATTTAAAGCTATAACTAGCACTCAGACAGTATTTTTCACTTTATGTTTCTGTGTGGGAGCAAACTGTTGAAATCTTTACTTAATGTATGCTAAACTGATCTTCTGTATATAAAGAGAATCGAAAATGAATCATGATGTGAATGGAGGGGGAGAGGGAGTGGAAAAGGGGAGTGTTGCGGGTGGGAGGGATGTTATGGGGGGGAAGCCATTGTTATCCATAAGCTGTACTTGGAAATTTATATTCATTAAATAAAAGTTAAAAAAAAAAAGAAACATATTGTCATCATTGATTCACAGCAATAATGTTTTCCTGGGCTGACATCATAAATACATCTATCATGGCCATGTTCTAAGTGTCTATGATTAGATTTTGAGTCTGTTTTCTGGGAGGGATACCGCTTGACTTTACTGTATGGGAAGTTTTCTCTCGTCTTACGCTAATGGGTGAATCTCACAAGAGTATGGGGAATTTATTAACTGTGAACAATGAGGAGTATTGTACAGGTTCCATTGGTTCTTCAGTTCAGTGAGTCAAAGCTTTACTAGATCACAGTAGTGAATTCCTGAATGATATACATCCTTAGAAAACAGCACAGGATTCTGACTCATTTGTCCTCTGTATCTCCTACATGTCAGTAGCTGAAGCCAAGCTAATGTTCTAGACATTATTTTTTAGTTTTGCTTATATCTGTGCTTATTCTCTCTCTGCCTGCTTCTCTATATTGTTTAGCTCTTTTTTATTTTTAATTGACACATAGTAATTGTTTATATTTATGGGGTCCATGTATACAATCTGTAATGATCAAACCATAGTAATTAGCCTGTCTAGATTCTTATACATTTACCATTTTTTTTGTGTGTTTAGAAACTTAAAATCCTTTTCTTCTAGTTCTTCATACATTATATAGTAGGGTCTTGCAAACTGTAGTCACTGTCCTGATGTATGTAAAACATTAGAATTTATTCCTCCAATCTGAGGAATTTTGGTACCTGTGGTCTACCCTTCCTTTATTCTCTCTTCCAAGCCTCTCCTCATCAGTAGTCTACCCTCTTATTTGAGACAATTTTTTTTCCCTTAAATCCCACATATTAAGTGAGAACATGTAGTATTTCTTTTTTCTACACCTGCTTTATTTCATTTAGAATAATGTCTTCCAGTTCTATTCATGTTTCTAAAAATAACAGGAATTCTTTCTTTTTTAATATCTGAGTAATTTTCCATTTTGTGTATACATACCACATCCAATTTCTTTATTCAAATAAGTTGTTCACCCTCCAATGGCCGCCATGGCCGCCGTGCTGCAGCCGGCGCACCGCACTGTTCCGATGGCAGGAGCCAGGTACTTATCCTGGTCTCCCATGGGGTGTAGGGCCCAAGTACTTGGGCCATCCTCCACTGCACTCCCTGGCCACAGCAGAGAGCTGGCCTGGAAGAGGGACAAGCTGGACAGAATCCAGCGCCCCGACCGGGACTAGAACCCGGTGTGCCGGCACCGCAAGGTGGAGGATTAGCCTAGTGAGCCGCGGCGCTGGCCAGTGTATTTCTAATATAACTCTTTATTATTACATCTGACAACCAAATTTTTCAATGATATTAAGTAGGGAGCCTGTTTTCCCAGGAATAAATCTCAAGATCGTCTACTGCACTAATGTTTTTTTGAACTCTTTTTTCCTTTGCTACAACCCACAACAGAAAACAACATTTACATCATCATCCAGCAAACACACACACATATGCATAACAAGTCTACAGCATATCCTCTCTAAACTGGGATTGTTACATGCACACTGGATGTATGGTGTAGTCACTTTAAATGCCCTTTCTACTGGTAAACAACTTTTTCACACTAGATTTAAAAACATTTTTGAAAAAATAGTATTAAGCAGTCATATATGTGACAGCTAGATTAGTCCTTTGAGAACTTGGATTAAAATGAATTTTATATCCTCTACAAATTTGTTAGTGAATTTGATGATTAGAAGTAAATATTAAGAATTACTCATTCAATGATAATCATGTTTTATTTGAAATTGCATATGCACCTCTTCACTTAAAATTTATATTCTTAAATATTAAATGACCAACTCATCTGATCTAACTTGAATATTATTCAGAAGAGTCAAGAATAAACAGTGAAGACAGTCTTTCTAATGGTATCTGAAAGAGGCTTTGTATTTATAATTGTTACTTAAGGAAGGATACATTCTTACAAAGTATTGAGTTTTCTGTTCAAAACAATGACTAAGGCATTATGTGATTTTCCAAAGTATGAAGTATCATGGAGGTGCATCTTAATGTTAGAAGGGGAAATTTTCCTAAGATTAGTAAGACAAAGTAGAATATCAGTACAATTCTCCTTAAACAACTTTTAAATAAAAAATTCTAAAATGAAGGAGGTTTTGTTTGTCTGCATAAATTTCATGGTCTCTGAATTTGTAATTTGTTTTGATTTTTTAAAGGCCTGTTCACAGAACAACACATGAACACAATATCGTGTGGAAGATGCTGAAGACAATTCCAGATTTAAATTCCAGGCTAAACCGGGAGCATCTGAAGACAATTAGCAAGAATCTCATTTCTGAAACATGGATAAAAGGCAGTACAGGTAATAGACTAATGTGGAGAGAAATTTGGCATGATAAAATCCATGCCACTATTTTGACTTCATCATTATAACGTTCATAATTTAACTTGACATGTTAAAATGTACAATTTGCATGCATTTCATTTCCATGGTTATAAGTAATGAAGTTAATTACATCTCATGTTTTAGTATTTATGTTTCAAGGTATATAGTAGTGTTTTCACTTTGAGTATGCATCTGAATTGCTCAGTGGACACATTGTGACACATATAGTTAGGTTCAATCCCTAGACCACTAGGTCTTTGAATAGGGGTAAATTGTGTTTCCACATAATGTATCAGTGAAGTGACTATTCTTGGGTTCACACTGTAAGTATTTATACACTACAATACATATTTCATTACATTCTAAGGTTGGTCTTCATAGATTAAGACAGCAACTGTTAAGTGATTATTTGACTGATTTAGATACTGATCCAGATACTGAAAAGGAAAAACTATACAAATAGATTTTAATTTCTGGATTTTTGTTTCTAGTTCTTTTTATAAAGGAGAGAGTAGATAAATGAACAGGAATTTTTATATTTTAATTTTTTGAAGGGAAGCATATAATTTAACACATTCTTTTTGTCAAGGCATCTCTTCATTATTCCCCACAGGAAAAAATAAAAGTAGATATTATTTTCTGTAAATGAGGACCCTCAAGGCACAAAATATCACATAGAGTTTTCCTAGTTAGAATAGAATTTCAAATATTTTATACTAATGCTAAATTCATTATCTATCACATCACTGTTTGTATAAAGTGCTTCATTAGGATTTTGCCATTTAAAACCTAACTGCAATTTTCGAAAACATGTGTCAATTGAAGAGATTTACATATTTTGAGTATTTTTCCCCAATGGTCTTCTTATAATTAGTTCCAGTTAATCAGAGTCATGCAGTGAAAAATAAAAGAGTTTTGTAGAGGTTAAAAGCGTTTTAAAATGGAAAAAAGAACAAATATTCAACATTGTTTTGCCATTAGCTTGAGGATAGTAATTAAAAATTAATTCGGTTTATAAATCCCTGAAATTATATTTATAAGGACAAAAAATAAGAAAAACTAAATGTTCTTCAATAGATGGTTGACTGCATGCATTGTGGTACATAGACTCTACAAAGATTTAGGCGGGGTTTAAAAGAATGAATGGATGTACATGGGTGCAAACATTAAAGATAGTCAAAAAACAGTTATAGAATTGTATAAATATATTTATGTAAATAGTCTCAATTTATACACATATGTTGGTTGTAAACACACAGGAATGAATCAAAAATACACTTCATATATATATATGTGTGTGTGTGTGTGTATTTTAAATTGTTGATTTAGTGTAGAGGGGAGTGTAATTGAGAAGTGATAAAGGGAAACAATTAACTCTTGCCTATTCATACATATACATACATGTATATTTCTTGTGGTTAAACTTTTCCACAATGAATACCTATTTGTTAGAATTTATGATTATACCTTTTTGGAAAAAGTTTCTAAAATTCCAGTTAGAAACAAGCATTTTATTCTGATGACATCTTCAAAACTAAGGTGATAGATTATTGAAATATGAAACTTCAGTATTTGACAAATATATAATTTATATTAAGTAAGGCAATTCAACTTACATTACAGTAGATCATACCTTTTAATTTATTTTATTTTATTTTTGATTTGAAGTCTCTGTGTTTATATCAACTTATGTCAAAATTCTTCTCTTGAGTTTTCAGGATGTACAATTCTGACAGCTCAGATCTATTTCATTATCTCATTATCAAAGCATTCAGCTCATTAAATATCTGACCTTTGTATATCTCTTTGTTCATCTAACTTAAGCCACAACTGTGACTAGGTACCTGCATCTCTCTGTCTCTCTCTATTCATGTATGCATTTCTCTCCCTCTGCTGTTATTTAAAGTATTCCCTCCAGTCACCCTGCATCACCAGGCTGCTGACTTCCAATCTGTTGTTGAGAGTTTGGTTACTCCAGTGCATTCCACCCAGCTGTTTTCCCCTTCTGGTCTCTTTTCTGGCCATTAATTCTTTAGAGTTACATTAGTTAAGGAAGCTTCCTAAACTTATTATTTAGATAAGCACTTACCCGTTTACTTTTTGTAAGCAATAAAATATTAACAGGGAAACATTATGATGGTTATAATAGTACATAAAGCATTATGTTAGTTGGTATTATAAAACATTATAATTTATTTGCTTTGTTAATAATACTCTATATTATATTATTACATTAATACTATAAATAATATATTATGGCAAACTATATGTATATAGATATGATTATAGATATTATTTACTTGAGTCAAATGATCTCAAGCATTTTCCACTGAATATCTTATTTTATAGCCTGAGCAAAGGGTACTTTTAAGATTGAGAACTTGAAGCTCATGGAAGGTAAAGTAATTAATTTATTGAGAACTCAATTTAATTACAAATCTATCCCTGTGTTCATATTGAGACACATTCCTACAAAAGGATTGTTTTCTCCTTTATATCCATATCCTGTTTTTTTTTTAAGTTGAAGTCCACTAAATCTTACCATATTATTTAGCTTCTATTTCTTTCATTTTATTTTGTTTCTTTCAAGTTTGTGATGTTATGTCTCAAAAACTCTATAGCTTCTCATTGTAATCAAGCTTTTAATTTTAATGCTTAGCATTTTTATGTTACTAAATTAGTAACATTTCATTTGCCTGTATAGTATTTTCTATTCCAGTTTAAATTTCAGTTAGCATATAGAAACATAATAGCTAAATCTCTTGAAAAATATGCTGGGCTTCCTCTCCTTATAAAAATCATTCAAAAATATTCTTATAATGGAAGTAAAAAAATCTTTATTCTTGCCATAATATCATGGATTCTTTTTTTTAACTTTTATTTAATAAATACCAGATATTTAAAGAAGGACTAATTCCAATGCTTCTCAACCTATTCAGAACAATTGAAAAAGAGGGAATCCTCCCAAATTCTTTCTATGAAGCCAGCATCACCTTAATTCCTAAACCTGAAAAAGATGCAGCATTGAAAGAGAATTACAGACCAATTTCCCTGATGAACATAGACACAAAAATCCTCAATAAAATTCTGGCCAATAGAATGCAACAATACATCATGGATTCTTAAAGACAATCATGACCTTTAAAAATATGTGTTGATCTTAAATTTGCTATACACTTTCAGTGAATCTCAGGTACTATTATATGAATGTTTATGTCCTCTTAAAATTCAGATGTTGAAATACAGTAGTGACAGTATTAAAACAGTATAATACAGTAGTGACAGTATTAAAAAGAGACAGTCTGGGAAGTGAATAGGTCTTGGGGGTAGAGCCATCACCACTTCCACCATATAAAGTAAGAGTCTTCTTCGGACCCTGAATCTGCAGGTGCCTTTATCTGGGACTTCCTAGTTTCCAGAAAGGTGACAAGTATGTTATTTATAAAATACCTACACTTGTTTGTATTAGTAGCCTGAATGGACTAACACGTATTTCTTGGAATTTATGAAGATTAATTGCTAGAAAATTTAGAAGTTTCATTAGAACATATCAGTATCACAGAAAATATGGCAATAATGGAGGAAACAAATAAGGTCTAAGACATTACAGGAAACTGACAAAATGGCAGATTACTGCTAACAATAATCACATTTTAAGGTAAATGGATCAGCTATACTAATAAAAATTCAAAATTGGACAAATGAATTTTTTAAAACAATTCAATTATAATTATATAAAAGAGACATTTTAGATTCAAATATATAAATAGGTTGAAAAAGATGTATCATATCATAGGAAAAGTATATCATAGAAAAATGTATCATATCATAGAGCTTAAATGACTATTCTAAAATCACGTAAACTGTAATTTAAGACAAAACTATAACTAGAGGAAGACAGGATTTTTTTTAAGGATTTAGTAATTCAATTCATTAAGGAGAAAAAACAAATATAAATATATATGTGCCTAACAATAGAATACAAAAATATATGAAGCAAAATCTTACATAGTTGTTAAGAGAAATAGATAACAATAAAAACTGAAAGCATAAATATCTAATTTTTTGTTTTTCAACATTTTTTATTTAATTTTTATTTAATAAATATAAATTTCCAAAGTACAGCTTTTGGATTACAGTGGCTTCCCCCCCACCGCATAACTTCCCTCCCACCCTCAACCCTCCCATCTCCCGCTCCCTTTCCCATTCCATTCACATGAAAATTCATTTTCAATTATCTTTATATACAGAAGATCAATTTAGTATATATTAAGTAAAGATTTCAACAGTTTGCACCCACACAGAAACACAAAGTGTAAAGTACTGTTTGAGTACTAGTTATACCATTAATTCACATGAAGGACAGAGATCCTACATGGGGAGTAGGTGCACAGTGACTCCCGTTGTTGATTTAACAATTGACACTTTTATTTTGTCACTAATCATCTGAGGCTCTTGTCATGAGCTGCCAAGGCTATGGAAGACTTTTGAGTTTGCCAACTCCAATCTTATTTAGATAAGGTCATAGTCAAAGTGGAAGTTCTCTCCTCCCTTCAGAGAAAGGTACCTCCTTCTTTGATGGCCCATTCTTTCCACTGGGATCTCACTTGCAGAGATCTTTCATTTAGGTCTTATTTTATAGGCATACAACTGTCATCATCAGCAACAAGGAGAAACAGAGGACATGAGCAATAGTTCAGAAGACTAGATCTTACGTCTACAAAATAGCACCAAACAATGTCAAAATACAAATTTTTCTCAAGTACATGTGAAACATAACTCAGGAAAACCATGTAAAATCTTAGCATATCAAAAAATTATATGGTGTACTTTTTCTCCAATCAAAATGGAATAACAGAGGCAATAAATATGAGAAGAATGAGGAAATCAACAAATATATGGAATCTAAAGAGGGTACTCCTTAATTACCAAAATGTCAAAGGATCAAATAAGAAACACATTTTAAGTAGTGTTTA